GTTTTCATTCCAAGACAATCTCCAGGCCAATCTATTTTTTCTTTTAATTTTGGACAAGACATAAAACTCCTATTAAGCTTGTATTGCAGCCTATGTCCTCATTGAGTGAGCATGATGACATAACCCCAAGGAGTGTTTCTATAATAGTCTGGGCTCACAGGCAGTGGAGTGAAAGAAAATGGGGATTATTCAGCCCAAAGAAGAGAGCTGTTTTGGCAACTGGAGTGCTCAGTGTGTGAGTGCCAGGGAAGAGGTGAGTGTTGCAGTAAAAGCTGCTTTTTGTTTTGTTAGGTGCTGGCCTATTTTTTCATTTTTATATAAAACTAGAGTTGTGACTTCAATGTCAGAAGAGATTAGAGAAGCATTTTGCTTCTGCAAGGGTAAAGCATATATTTTACTATAAGAAAAAACAAGTCTATTGTACTTTAAGACTTGAAAACTCTATATGAGAAAGAAATATATTTTCAAGATCCATTTTGATACAAATAAAATGTCTGCTTCTTGCCATGTGGTTTTGCTTGTACCTTATGTTAGCATTTAAAAAAATGACAAATTCTATTTCAGGGCTGTTAACCAAGCTCTAGCATTTATCCATTGAACATATGGAGAATATGCTACATTTTAAGCTTTTCCCAGACATATTTTCTTTTCTGATTTAATTTTCAAGTCACTGCATGAGAACTCTTTTCATTTTAGGGAATGGCTCTGAGTAAGAAAACAAGATAGCGAGACTGCGTAATTGCACTTGATGGGATTTTTATTGATATAACCAGACAAATGGATATGCTGTGCTTTTCTCTGATATTCTATGTACTTTAGTTGTACAGCTATGTCTTCTGCTACCATTAAATAGAATTTAGCATTGCCATGTTTGCAACCCCAGTATATTTCTTTTTAGGGTTCAATTACATTTGTGCACATGTGTTAATGTGTGTTATGACATTCGCTATGTTTGCGCAGCCCACTGAAGCCAATAGACTACCCAAGCTCCAAAACATCCCAAAAATGAGATCACAAACTTTTTACACAATGAACTTGTACGTGTTGTGGTGTGCTGCAACTGATATGCATTTGTTGAGCTGTGGGGTAGTCTCCATGTTCTCCTCCTCTTTGGGAACCATAATGGGTCACATAAGAGGCCTACCCCAGGGTGGGTTCTTCTGGGCTATGCTGGGCACATAGAACAGGGTAATTCGCCTTGCACATGGGGTACCTTTACTGTACCACGTTCATCAATGCCCTGGGACAAGCAGGGGTCGCTTTCAGGGATAACTCAACTTTAAGGTGGACCTCTAATTCAAAGGCAGCCATACACGGTGTACACTTGAACAGATGACTGTATTCTATATAACGCTTTTTAACACCATGTCCATGTACACCACTACTGTCACTGTTTGCATTTAGGAGGGACATGCAGAGCTGATGCCCTTTCCACCTGTCCAGCATATCTCCACTACCTCACTCCCAGTAATGCAATTGGGTCCCGCTGTGCACCTTAACTCCTTCTCTTCCATACCTGGATAGGCTTGGGACCTTTGAGCACTGATCTACTCCCATTACTATGGGAAATTAACAACCAGAGGAGATAATGACAACAACTCCCACGTTACAAGAGGCTGCTCCATCTCACACAGTTACACAATTCATGACAGGCTGTTTGTGAAACCTTCAGTACCAATGGTAACCACTGCTGTCTTATACCCTTAATTTGTCTACTGACCAAAGTTGGAAACTACATGTGTGCTGGTTTCTTACATACACCCCTTTAGAATACTTTTAGACCAGGCAAAGGAAATGTTTCAATATTTTACTTAAATAACGTGAGCATTCCAAATGACAGAACACAGTTCTTCCCTATTCTAGTCCTTAACTACAGCAGCTGACCCAGCATACCTGCATAGGCAAAAGTCCAACCATGGAAAGTCCTTATAGGAGATGCCCCAGCACACTGGTGGCTTTGAAGAGGATTGCAAGTCCAAGCAATCTCCTTACATTGTGGAAGGTCTTCGGATACAGCTAGCAACTAAATACAGGCACAGGACTTTGTGGCTCTCCAACGGGATCTATTACACTCACGCCACAAGCTCTCTAGCTCTGCTGAGCTCCAAGATGTGGGCAACTGACATAGGGACAGGAACAAAACCTAGCAGAAGACACTCTGGAGTGGGAACTGCTCTGTCTCTCTCCTACATCTTGCTGGCTGTCTGTCTGAGCAGAGCCATCCCCATTTTATTATCAGCACAGGGAGAGAGGCAGAGCCCAGGAAAGAGCAGGAAACTGGGTTTATTCTTTCCCTCCTGGCTGGCGCAGCAGCTGTCTCACTGTCCAACATTTCAACCTGCTTACACATTGCCCAAATGACATTCATCACAGTGCAGCAAACGCACATACAATACAGTAATTCAAGCATTAACACGAACACAACCACAACTTAAAGATGTAAATCAGCCCCTAAAGTGGTACTCCAGACAAAACTAAATATGTCCCTTCACTTTCATTGGAACAGGAAATAAGGGAAAACCTTGTCAACACACAAAGGCAAAAGCACAAACACTTTTCCTTGGTAGAGAAGGGAGAGATCACCCTAGGGCTACAGGGGCAATTTCTAGTAGCTAACTGTGCTGTTAAATTCTCAAGAAATTCATCTTTTTTGTTTCAATCACATATTTTCAACATGAGCTGAAACATAAAACATTTTCAGTAGGGCAACTGATCAATCAAACTGCAACAGTCTATTTGCCCAGCCAATAGCATTTAATGTCCTCTTTTCTACCCCAAAGACTTCATTAGATGCTCATTTACTTGGGTGGTTTTTCCCATTGAAGTGTACCTTGTGGGTACATTCTCATAAAACTAATCTTCTAATAACTGTCTACAATTTCCTGCAGTAGTGCATAGGAACAATTTAATCTGTAATTGTTTTTGTTATACTCCGAGTTTAAAAATAGTTCATGCAGTCCTAGGCTTAACCATTTCCATACCGGGCATTTTTACCCCCTTTCTGCCCAGGCCAATTTTCAGGTTTCAGCGCTCTCACACTTTGAATGACAATTGCATGATCATGCAACACTGTACCCAAACTAAAATGTTATCATTTTCTTCACACAACTAGAGCTTTCTTTTATTGGTATTTAATCACCACTTGGGGTTTTATTTTTTGCTAAATTAACAAAAAAAGAAATTTTGAAAAAAAAAACACGTTTTTCTTTGTTTCTGTTATAAAAGTTTGCAAATAAATAATTCTTCTTCATAAATTTAGGCCAAGATGTATTCTGCTACATGTCTTTGGTGAAAATAACCAAAATTAGTATTTATGATTTAGTCTGTAGGAAAGTTATAGAGTTCACAAACTATGGGATATATCTGAAAAGTAATCAGTACTGACAGCCAATCTAATTTCTTGAGGTCCAAAAATGTCAGAACAGTACAGATATCCCCCAAATGACCCCTTTTTGCAAAGTAGACAGTCCGACGTACTTCATAAGAGGCATGGCAAGTTTTTTGAAGTTGTAGTTTTTTTTCATAATTTTTCAGAAAATGAAGAAATTAAACAATTATTTTCACTATTTTTTTTTACATACTGTCACCAGTGCAGTACAGCATTATCATATAACTGGCATGGTGGTGATCAGGGACACTGACTGGTGACAGTACGAAAAAAAAAAAAATTTATTTTTTATTTTTTTAAATTTTTTATTATATATTTTTCTCTTTTTTTAAGATTTTTTTTCATATTTCACTATGACCAAAGTAGTATAATGTTACCATAGTAAGCAAGCATTTACCTGAATGAAATCGATTCATTCAGGGGTCTTTTTTGTGATTAGCTGTGATTTGGCCATGGCTAATCACATGACACAGCTGGGCTGTGATTGGCCCAGCTTGTGCATGTGATCGCTGTGACCATTCACAGCTAGACACACTTGTGTACAGTGGATGGCATGAAAGGAAGCCATCCATTGTATACAACTGTCATGTGACCTACTGTGATTGGTCACAGCAGGTGACATGGTACTGGCAACACGACTGGTGACAGATCGCACCGCAGAGCGGCCTTGCGGGCATGCGGAATGCACGCTTCCGAAAAGGACGCCATATGGCGTCCACCTGGAGGGACGAGGTGTTCACCTGGCCGCCATCTGGCTACAGGCCAGACAGCAACTAGTTAAGCTAGGTACACACTGTGAGGTTTTTTTTTGCTCAAACAGTGGGCTGAATGAAAAACCTCACAGATTCCTGCATCCACACAATGTGAAGGCAGGGACCCCCATCTTCCCCACTGTGCTATTGTATTCTGAGAGGTTGGACTCCCTGTCAGAATACAATGATCAGCTCTGCAGCCCTTGGACCATTAACCGCCTCCCACCAGCCATATAAGGAAATGATGGGCGGGCGGCGGTTCTCTTTTTCTGGGAGAATGTCATATAACGTCCTCCAATTCTAACTGTGCATGTACGCCCCCGGGGGTGCACGACGATCGGTGGTGTGCTGTGTCTCTGGGACACAGCGGATCACCGATCGGAGTAATCTGACAGCGGTGACAGCATATGAGGAGAGGAGAGACGGTAATCGGCATTCCTCAGAGAGGATATCTACACTGATTATCAGTGCCCTGATGATTAGTGTAGCCCGATTAGTGCCACCTGTCAGTGCCCATCAATGCCACCTGTAATTGCCCATCAATGCCACATACCAGTGCCCATCAGTACACATCAATGCCACATATCTGTGCCTACCAGTGCACCTCAATGCCACATATCATTGCCCATCAGAGCTGCCTTTCAGTGCCACCTATTAATGCCAATCAGTGCCACCTATCAGTGCCAATCAGTGCCACCTATCAGTACCAATCAGTGCCACCCATCAGTGCCACCAATCAGTGACACCTATCAGTGGCAGTCAGTGCTGCCTATCAGTGCCCATCAGTGCCACCTAACGGTTCCAATCAGTGCTGCCTAAAAGTTCCAGTCAGTGCCGCCTATCAGTGCTAGTCAGTGTCACCTATCAGTGCCCATCAGTGCCACCTATCCGTGCCATATACGAGTGCCCATCAGTGATGCCTGTCAATGCCCACAAGTGATACCTGTCAATGCCCATCAGTGCCACCTATCAGTGCCTCCTCATCAGTACCACCTATCAGTGCCCATCAGTGCAGCCTATCAGTGCCCATCACTGTAGCCTCATTAGCACACATCAGTGTGGGAGAACAATTACTTATTTACAACATTTTATAACAGAAACTAAGAAGAAAACATTTTTTTAGTTTGTTTAGCACAAAGTAAAAACCCCAGTGGTGATTAAATACCACCAAAAGAAAGCTCTATCTGTCTAAAAAAATGACCAATTTTGTTTGGGTATAGTGTTGCATGATCGTGCAATTGTCATTCAAAGTACAACAGCACTGAAAGCTGAAAATTGGCCTGGGCAGGAAGGGGGTAAAGGTGCCCAGTAGGCAAGTGGTTGAAGCCAGTCTAACAATCAGCTTCTGTTGAATAGAGAGGTACACACAGATCAAAATTTTTATATGTCTATACCCAGCTTTAGAACTCATTGTCAGGTTTGTATTGCTGCTTGCGCCTCCCTTGGGAACTCTCCATTCACCTCCCATCTTGGTGACAGGTTTTTCAAACTCTTTCCTTCCCTATCCAGCAGCAGTGCACTGATTGGATTTCCCTGTTGTCTGGAGTTGCTTTTTTTTTGTGTAATAATGTGTTAAAAATCTTTTTGCTATGCATTGTTTGTAATTAGATGTGCAATTATATTTGCTTACAATATATATGCAGTCTCTGTATCCTACCTTGTTGTGATGAATAATGGTTGTACCTTACTGATCATTATATCACACTACAAGTCTAGCAGACAGGGACTATTGGCATAATACCTGCCTTAAGGGCAACAAAGCATGGTGGCTAAATGGTTAGCACTTCCACTTGGCAGTACTGGGATCGTTGGTTCAAATCCCAACTACAGCACCACATCCCTGGAGTTTGCATGTTCTCCCTGTGCCTGGGTGGGTTTCCGCCAGGTGCTTCTGTTTCCTCCCACACTCTAAAGACATGCTTGTAGGTTAATTTGGATCATTTTTAAATTGGCCCTAGTATGTGTATGTATAAATGTAAGTTAGATTGTACACCCCTTGAGGACTGATGTGAATGTACAATATACTGTATATGTAAAGCACTGCATTAATTGACAGCACTATATAAGTACCTCAAATAAATAAATACTTTATATGTGTTACATGTCCCCATTCATGTGGAACAACTTAAAAAATAAAAATCGCAGCTTACCTTTTTTTTAGCTGCTCTATACTGGAGCCTCTAGCAAATTCCTAGGTAATTATGCTTGTTTATGAGTGGGCTGGACAGCTGTATTTGCCATAATTTACCCTGTACTATGCAGACTAATATTCATTATCAGTTTGTAACTAGATTTGAACACTGTTCTAACATAGGGTACAGGTATAGATGGCTTATTGCATTGTATATTAATGATGACAGATTTGGGACAGGCTCACTTGGGACAGGAAACACTACATGATTTACAGGTGTGAAAGTGATGTAACATTCTTTTGCTTTCGCTGTGTAATGAGGCACCTAGCTAACAGGTGGGAAGCCTCAATTTTGTCATTCATTAAGAGTAATGTCAGAGCTTACTGAGTTTCAAAGAGGGCATAATGTTGTTGCCCACTAAGCTGGTGCCTCTGTAACTAAAGTTGGCAATTTATTTGCGGTGTTCTGAGGTGCAGCATCAAAGGTTATGACAGCATATACAATTTATGGGAAAACGTCATCTGATAAGCATAAGTGCAGTTGACATGGTCAGCTGACCAAAAGAAACAAAAGGACATTGTGCAGAACTGTGATCCGGAATAAGAAAGCAACTGCTGCAAAAGTATCTGCAGAGCTTAATCTCAGTCTTCCAAAGCCCATGTCCACAAAAACTGTTCATCTTCATAAGCAAGACATTCACAGGTGAGCTGCTATTGCCAAACCACTAGTGACCGATATTAATGCTCAGACGAGGAGAGAGTCGTGCAATACCCATAAATTGTGGACTATTGATCAATAAAAGACGGTAATATGGTCCGATGATTCGAGCTCCTCCCAAACATCAGACGTGTTTATGTGTGGTGGACCCCATCCCAAGCTTACGACCAAGACTGTCTTGCGCCAACAGAAAAGCATGGTGATGGCACAATCATGGTTTGGGCAGCCATATCTTGGAATTTTGCAGGTCCCATCATCACCTTGAAAGGTAGAGGCACTACCAGCGATTATGTACACATTTTGGCCAATCATGCACACCCATGGTGCAGACATTGTTTCTCAAAGACAGCGCCATTTACCAAGACGATAATACAATTCACACAGCTGGTGTTGTCAAATTGTGGTTTGACGAGCATTAACCTAAACATTTTAGTCTTTTGTTGAACATCTATTTTTCTACCCAATTCCCGTCAGGTCACTTAGGATCTTATAAATCCTAGTGGTTATATGTTTACATATTATCTTAGAGCTCAACATTTTTTCAAAAGGAAGCATATCCTCCACCGTCCACAATGGTGGGGGGAATGTTGAAACAAAATGTCCTAATTGATAATATCTCAATTCATCTAATACTAAAGATAAATCCTTTTTACTCCTTAATTCATAAAAAGTGCATAATTTCCCTCTATCCACTATGTCTCCCAAATGTGCATTTCTGTCTTTAAATCATTTCCCTGAAAAAGTCCCTCTCCCTGGGGGAAAGAAATCTGTGTCTACCAACGCCAACAGTACTTCCATCCCATAGACTTGTGCAAACCATCCCAAATTCTCAACACCTCCCGTGTCAATGTAGTACTATTTGCATCTAAAACCCAAAACTTATGTGAGATCCAAATGATCCTCTCTAACTGTGTATTACTTAATATACCTTCCATTTTAACCCAACTTTTCTCTCGTGAGTTATGTGTCCAGTCAACCACTCGTGATAATAACACTGACATGTAATACTTCCTCATATTTGGCAGATTTAATCCTCCTTTCTCTTTATTATGGCATAAAGTTTCATACCCAATTCTTGGTTTCTTATTAGCCTATATAAATCTCAATATCAATTTTCTTATTATCCTAAAGAAGGATCCGGGTAGATTTTCTGGAAGCATTTGAAACTTGTACAGAATTTTTGGAACTGTTACCATCTTAACCAGATTAATACATGTAATCCATGAGGCCCACCCCCCCCCAAGAGTCTTTTTGAATCATCTTTGATTTCATTTATTAGTGGGATATACTGTAGTTGACTTGGTATAGATCCTTTATATAGGGGTTAACTTTATTCCCATGTAACCTAATTCCCTTTCCCTCCAAGTAAATGGAAAGTGTTCTTGTAAATGAATCCTCTCTGCCTTAGACATGTTCATTTTTAAAATCTCAGAGTGTTAGTCTAGGATTCACGATGTAAAACAGCATATCGTCTGCATACGCTGCTACTTTATGTTCCAACCCTCCTATCTTAATTCCTGTAATATCTATACTCTTTCTTACCAACACCAGAAATGGTTCCAGGGATAGTACAAATAGTAACGGGGATAGTGGACATCCCTGACTGGTTCCATTATACAATCTAAAGGTCCCAAACAGGGACCCATTAATCTTCATGGCTGCTGAGGGCCATTATAGAGCCCTTTTATCCACTTCAACATTTTTTTCCCTTATTTCCACTGCCGCCAATGTATTTATCATGAATCCCCAATCTACCCTATTGAAGGCTTTTTCTGCGTCTATCAACAGAATAATTGTCGACATTTTGCAGAAAGAGAAATGTTCTTAAACTGTTATCTCTTTCTTCCCTTCCTGGAATAAATCCTACCTGATCTAGATGTATCCATTCCAGCATAAATTCTTTCAACCTGGTAGCTAATACTTTCACAAACAATTTTAGGATCAGTATTTAGTAATGATATGGGTCTATAACTAGCACATTGTGAATTATCTTTCCCTTCTTTAAGAATAATTGTTATATGTGAGTGTAATGATTCTTTTCTCTCATTTCTGTACCCTCTCCTAGCGTGTTCATATATCTACAAAGATTAGGAACCAATAACTCTTTGAATTTTTTATAATAGCCTACCGTAGAACCATCAGGACCAGGGCTCTTTCCTCCCACTGTACTCTTCAGTGCCAACCTGATTTCGTCTTGGGAAATAACTCATTCTAGAGATAATCATTTATCTTCCGCAATTTTTAGTAAATCTACAACCTTTAAAAATTCTTGCCTTCTCCTCCTCTTCTCTTCCTCTGTTACTTTTGGATATTTAGGATTAACCTCGTACAGCCTACTATAAAACTTTTGAAACGTATCAGCAATCCTGGTGGTGGAGTAAACCAGTTCCCCATTTTCATCTCCAATTTTTACTATATAATTTTTTTGATTTCTTTTCCTTCAATCTCTTCATCATAAATTTCCCTGGTCTATTCCCCCACTTGTATCTCTCTTTTGATACTCTATTGAAAAATTTCCTCGTTTTCCTGTTCTAATAAGTCCTTCAATTCTTCTCTTTTAAGGGTAATCTGCCTATATAAATCTACATCCTGCTTTTTTTTATGTACCTGTTCTAGTTTATGTAATTCTTCAGTAACCTATTTTAATTTCCTCTCTCTCTCTCTTTTTTTTTATCCTACTGCAATCAAAATTCCCCTCATATAGGCATTATGTGCCTCCCATATAGTCGCCACCGATAATTCCTCTGTTTCATTCAAAGCAAAAAATTGCTCTAGCTCTTCCCTTAACCTTTCCTCTATATCTTGTATAAGTGTCTCATTCACTCTCCACATAGCCCTCTTATTTCCTTCCCCTCCCATTCGCAGTCTCACCATGATAGGGCCGTGATCCGATATGGTCATAACCTCAATATTAGATTTAACCAAGGATTTTAGCTGTCTGTGCTTTATTAATACATAGTCCAATCATGAGTATGATCTGTGCGCAAGGAGAAGAAGGTATAATCCCTTTCTCTGGGATGTTTTTACTCTCCAAGTGTCTATTAGTTAATTTTGATGGAACGCCCTTTTTAGCCTTCTTAGTTTTTTTTTCCTCCCTCCTTCTGCGCACCCGAACACACATCCATCCAAGTATCCAAACAGCAATTGAAATCTCATGCCACGATCAGACTGCCTACCTTAAATTCTTTAATTTTCTTCAAGAATTCTAGGAGGAAATCCTCTGGATTTTTATTTTGGGCAGTAAATATTTACCAATGTATATTTTTGTCCCTGCATTTTCCCTCTTAAACCTAAATACTGACCCTCTGGATC